TTTACTTCATAACAAAAATAATTGGCATGATAGGAAGCTTTTGACATGGGGAAAGATAACTAGAGTTTAGAACATGGACTACAAGTGGCTGAAACAAATTGGTTGATATCATAAACCGTCAACCTTGCTCCTTTGGTATATCCTTCAGGATAGTTTCATTAAAGTTTTACTTTAAAAAAATCACTTCACGTTATTGTATATAAGTAATCACTTGTCTGTTAGTGTTCCAGATGTATCTTAGCTAAAACTAATGAATACCCTACTTAGCTGGTTTTTGAAGCCTGTGTATTTGGTATTATTGGACCCTTAAACGTTTACATCTCTTAGCATGTAGGACAAGGATCAGATGTATATTGTTGCTTGAGAAACTGTACATTTAGACTAAGCTTTAACCTGGATTTGTATTTGTCAGTATGGCAAAGGAGTAAACAAATGTAAATACACTATTGGATTATTTTTTTTACCTTTTTAAAAAATTCAACTCATATCAGGGTAAAAAAACCTCAATTTATGTTCATTATGTTTGTGAATGGGAATTTTTAAAAATACCTACATTCTTTCAAACTTGAGGAGGAGGTGGTGCTGGAAAGGTGATAAAATATTATGTATGAAATCCAATTGGCAACAGCACAATGCAAAAACTTATATATATATATGTGTATATATATATTTAAAGTGGCATTCATAGATGCAGACTGGTGGGTGGGATACAAAGTGGGGAGGGGGAAATTGGTGGAGGGAAGTGGTCACTGGTGAAGAGATTGGTGTTGAAACAATGTATGCCCAAAACTCAATCAGGAATAACTTTGTAATTTCATGTGACTAATAAAAAAGAATTAACAGAAGGTGGGAAATAGTCTGAAAAGATATGAACAGCACGGGTGGAGAGATAGTACAGTGGGTAGGGTGTTTGCCTTGCACATGGCTGACTCAGGTTCAATCCTCACCATTCCATATGGTCCCAAGCACTGCTAGGAGTAACCACTGAGCATCACTGCGTGTGGTCCCTTCCCCAAAGAAATAAATGGCATACTAGAGAACAATGGGATGAGTTCAGGAGTAACAATATAAGAATTATCAGTCTCTGAAGAACAGAGAGGAAAGTTTAAGAAACAATATTTAGAGAAATCAGAGAGCAATTTCCCAGACTCGAGGATTATAGGCACTAAAATCCAAGACAACTAGGAAAATTCCAAGACACTGTGTATACAAAATGACACATTACAAAGACAGAGACAGAATATTGAAAGTAGTAAGAGCAAAAAGGAATTTGCGTACAAAGGAGATCACATAAGTTTCACAGCAGATCTATCAATAAGACTCTATGAGAATGGAGGGATATAGTTGAACCAAATAAACACCTCACCAAGAATACTCTATCCAGCTACATTATCATTCAGATCTGAAGGAATGATATCAAGTTTGAGAAACAGGCAACAGCTTAGGGAATTCATAGCCTTGAAACCAGTTTGACAAGTAGCTTTAAAGGATCTACTCCTTCTCTTTCTCCCTTCTTTCTCCTCCTCTTCCACATCCTCTTTCCTTCTTCTTTCTTCTTCCTTCTCCCTCTGTTCTTCTTTCTCCTCTTTCTTCCTTCTTGTTCCTTGTCCTCCTTCCTTCTTGTTCCTTGTCCTCTTCCTTCTTCTTCCTCCTTCCTTCCTTCCTTCCTTCCTTCCTTCCTTCCTTCCTTCCTTCCTTCCTCCCTCCCTCCCTCCCTCCCTTCTCCTCCTCCTCCTCCTCCTCCTCCTCCTCCTCCTCCTCTTTCTTTTGACGCTTGTTTCTGTTTTGGGGCCTCACTCAGCAATGCTCAGGGGTAAATCCTGGCTCTGCACTCAGGAATTACTCTGGCAGTGTTCAGGGGACCATATGGGATACTGAGCATCAAACTCAGGTCAGCAGGTGCAAGCAAGAGTCCTATCTGTTGTACTATCTATTCAGTCATAATGGAGCTTCTTTAAAGGACAGGACAAACTTCTCAGTATGTGGCATTGAGTATGGCACTTGCTCATGGTGCTTATGGGCCCCCCTTACTAGATTACAGAATGCATATTTCTAGCTTGCTAAGGGATTTTATTCATTTTCAATAAGGAATCCACATCTCATTTATATAGAATGTTCTCTGTTTTTATCAGACATGGTTTATATCCAGAGATTTTTATTGCGATATTTAGTCTACATTAACAGACCCTTAAGCAGTGTCTATAATAAAATGTTTTCTAATACAAAATCAATATTCCCTTTCATAGGATAAAACACTACTTTTGTGGGCCTTTAGATTTTAATTTTTTTCTCTTCACTCTTACTAAATTTTGCAGTTGTAGGCCATATGTATTTTACGTAAACTCTAAAATACATTACTGATTATTGAAGATTTTTAGTTTTATTATGACAGGAAACTTTTAGTTTTATTATGACAGGAAAGACATAGTTATCACCATAATGAGGCCCAAGTACAAAATAAAAGTTAATGTAATACATTTTAGATACCGGAGTTGAAAACTTATTTGTATAAACGAGATTAGGCATTATACTTTATTGCTGGGTAATTTTAATTTATTTACGTAGGTTAAAATTATATAGTATTCAATTGTTACAAATTGACTTGTTGATTTATTTTCTGATAATTTCATTTTCTTAGAGTAAGCAATCTAAAAAAATTTGTTATGTGCCTGTTAAGAGGGCAGATTTGGGGGTGGGAGGGAAACTGGGGATACTGGTGGAGGAACGGTCATACTGGTGGTGGGATTGGTACTGGAACATTTATATGCCAGGAAAAACTATTATTAGTAACTTTATAAAACACATTATTTTATAAACATAATAAACATAAATTTTAAAAAGCTAAAAATAAAATTAAAATCCTTATAATAACTAATAAAAGAATTAAGTGATGTTATTGAATTCAAGCCCAACAGATACAAAAACTAAAGTCCTTTTTTCTATATGCTAGCAGTGAACGATTATGAATCTGTAAAGAAACCATTCACACATCATGTTTCAAATATAGAAAGGATCTTTATGCTGAAAACTTTAAGAAGCTGAGAAAATAAGTGAAAAACCTAAATAGAGATACCATTGTGCACAGAGATTGATCAGTTAATAACAAGGGACTGGTTAATATGTAGTTCAGTGTTCAATTCTAAGAACACACACAACTCCCCCCCCCCCCCCATCCAACATTTTATCCCCAGAAACATCTCTCTGTGTCTCTTCCATTTATTTTTTGGAAAATATGACTACCAAACTTATGTGAAAATGGAAGGAAACAGGTGAAATGTTTTTTTTAAAAAGAACAATATTAAAGCGCTAAAACTGCTTTTTAGGAAATATCCCTCAGTTATAGTGGAGACAGGAAAACAATCTAATTGTGGATTGAGGATGAATAAATAAAGAAAATGTGGCATGTAAGATGGATTTATGCTGTGTAGACACATAAGTAAATATGATTTAGATATAAAATGCTATCAATGCCAAAATATTCGTTATGGAAGTGTAGTGTGTTAGTTACCTTATTGTGGTTATTAACTACATCACAACAAACAAAACCCGTATCAAGTCGCTTCATTGAAGAGATTAAACCAACACATATTCTGGTGGTTGGATTGGTGCTGAAATATTATATGACTAAAGCTAAACTATAAATTTTGTAAATCACAGTATTTTAATAAAATTTATTTTAAAAACTTACATATACTTTAATTCAATAACTACTCAATAAAGCTGGAAAAATAAAACCGTCCCCCAATTATCCACAAGGAGTACCTTCAAGCTATTTCCTGTGTGCTTTTGACATCCTTCTCCCCATCCCTTCATCCTTCAACTTACCCTGATTACTGAGGCCACTCTTTGAGTCAGGTTCCATCAGCCATTCTTCCTGGGCCCTGGAACCGAATCATTTACTGTAGAACAATATTCAGAAGCCAAAATCTTGGGGCTTGGTGTACTTATGACTATTATCATATTGCTATTTCCAGGAACTTTGAAATACATGTTTGGACATAAACACAGATATACAGAGTTACCTTGACATCTATCAGTCTTTCCATATATATAAACGAACATGCTGAAAACCTTAATTCTTAAGGAGACCTCCAATTCTAGTTTAACTCATTTGAGGTTTTCCTGGTTCTCTTCTCTTCTGTACCCGACATTCCCTTTTCCAAACATGATGGAATGGACTCTTGAGTCCCTCCACATTTACTCAGTTGATGAACCCTACTGTATGAGACAACTCTTTGGAACACAGAAGCCTTTCCCACATGCTCTATTGAACACCCTACCCATTCCTCCATCTAGAATCCTTGAGCCTGTTAAAACCCTCTCCTTCCCTTCTCCCACCCCCGCCCCACCAAACCACAGGGAACGAAGCCCTCGAACTCTGTCACCCACTGCTGCTGTGCCATATGCTTGTGCCTGGGCTGTCCTGCAAGCTGAACAGCCCTACACAACACGCTTGCCTTGATCTGCCACAGGGAAATACATTCGGGGTAAAGCAAAGGTACAAAACCGAAGGACAGGGAAGACAGGGCAGGAAAGGGGCTAGGGGCTAGCTCTTAATAGGATCAATTAGGCAAGGTGAAGTGGGCAGAACGCAGGCAATATTATGACGCCAATTCCTTTCCTCAAGGTCCGCCGCCCTTCCTGCTCTTCTGCCTCATTTCTTCTTATCTCTGTGGTTTTGCCCTCCACGAACAGCACAAATGCTTCCAGGGCTGGATTCCTGACCCTGGCTCCCTGGCTGATGTTTAGTGTGGACATATCCTCCTTGCAGCTCTCACTCTCAGTCCCTTTCTCCAGTATGGAGTAGCAATTCAGGTTAGCAACTTTGGGGGTGAGCTGCTCACCAGCTGCTGTACACGTAAACTGGGGCTGGCCCCACTACACCCTCACAGGTCGCAGGTGCAACGGAGACTGTACACCACACTTCAATGAGCACGATGTGCCGTAGGAAGTGATGAGAGCTTCAGAAGCATTGTGATGCCTCCAGCTTTAGAACTCACCAAACGTTTTCCCCTCAGGTAATCCCCCGGCAGCTTTCTCCCTTCTTCCAGGTCTCTGTGAAGTGATCACCTTTTTCAGGGAGACATTCCTGATCAACTTGAAGGCAGCGACAACATCCCCTGAAATAAACCTGGAGGGGAAAATAAAAAGCCTTTCTTGCCCTGTCCAAATATCTTTCAACGGGGCGCTATGTGCCCCTTTGATGTACTAGATACCTGTTTAGTGGCCAAACCAAATGAAATCAGGCTCTTTCCCTGACAGATGCTTTCAAGAATCTTGATGCAGAACTGCTGGGAGCAGACCCTTGACAATAATGGAACGATGCACAGCCAAGACAAATAGTGGCCCAACTTTCCAGATTTTGAAACACTTGGCCACCAGAAACATGTGGCTTGTCCAGTAGTCAAGCCTAATCTGGACATGGGGGTGTGCACTGGCAGCCTGTCGACTGCCACCCTTTCTTCCAGGACAAAGACCTCATGCCCCAAATGTAAGAGATTTCATTCCTGACACATTGACCCCCACCGGCTCACTGAACACAGTCTAAAGAGATTCACAAAAGACCTCGCCCAAGACTACAGGCTGGGTCTCACTCTTCCCCACATAGACCCTTCCCAAGCACCACTCAAGAACGAAGTGTTACTGGGTGAAAGAAATGAAAACTGCCCAGACACTTGGCCGACTAGACGCCCCCAAACCACTAGGACACTCCCCAGAACAGACGCTTCCCAGAGTACACAAGGACCGAAGTCCAAGAAACTGCTCAGCCTCTCACCATCAACAGAAGGTCCCCAGAAAAATCCCAGTCTCTGTACCCTGAACCCAGACCTCGATCTCTTCAGGTCCTTCACACGCTCAGAAAAAACACCCCCCCCCGGCCACTACATCCTAAGCAACTCCCACACAACGCCAATTGGGTCCCAGAATCCCACACAACTCAGAATCCCAACAGGCCTGGGAGCACAGACTTGCGCAGAGTAAGTAGGCACTAAGTCGTGCAAAGCCTAGAAAAGGCACAAGCAGATACACAGCACACACTGCTAAGAATCTTACCCCACGGAGATAAAACGCCCTCTGCGAACACACCCCTTCACTGGCAATGCCCCCACAGGCTCAGGGCCACCACTGTCCCCAAACAGTTCCTGAGTCGGTTACCCAGCGACAGGCAGGCTGCCGCGGGCAGTGGCAGCGCCCTGGTTCAGCCCCCTCTCCCGAGATGGTGAGTGCGGGCAGCAGGAGGCTGCGGGTGCGGTGCCACCGTGCATCTGAGTCGGGGGCCACTGAGACCGAAAGGCTCACGTGAAGGCAGTCGGTACCCGCCCGCAGCCAGTTCACAGAACCTCACCGCTGCCCGCGGCGCACCAGCAGCCCGTGCGGGTCGGTCCCAGGGTCCGAGTCTCCGTGCAGGAAAACGCTGGGGTGTGGAAAGCCGCAGGCACGCCCCTCAGCCTGAGCTCGGGCGTGGGAGCGGTTTCCTCGGACAGCCGAGACCAAGGTTGTGTGAGGCGAGAGGCGGGGCCGGACACCGGCGTCCATCCGGGGCCATCCCGCACCCCGGATGCGCTTTCTCCGCTGTCTCCCGGTGACCAATCGGCGCCCCGCCAGTCTCGACCCCGCTCCCCACATCCGGGAAAGGGTCTCTGGTCCTGTGGTGGACGTGACCGTGTCTACACCGGGGGTGCCGTTGGCCCAGGGGCCGTGGCGCCTGCGCCCCGGGAGGCTGTGGGCACTCGTGCTGGAAGAAGCGAGAACAGGGAGCGCTGCGAGGCGGGAGCTTCGGGGTCGCGGCTGGGGACAAGGGTTGAGGCGGCACGCGGTGGAGGTCACGCACACAATGGATTATCCAAGCCCTAGTGGTGGCTGCGGGAGTAGATGGACCCGCCTCTAAAGCCCTCCGTGCAGCTCTCGGGGTCGAGCTGTTCCTCCCGAGCGCCCCTTGCTGGCGACCCGGGGGAAGCACTTTGCTGCTCCCTGGCGCGGGAGGGCGGGAATCGGGATGAAAATCCCCAGATCCCTGCAGTGGCTCTGGAAGGTCTCCTAAACTGAAGTTTCCCTTGCTGCAGTCACCAGCACCCTGTCAGGGAGACACACAGACCCTTTCTTAGTGCTGGGCGCTGTGTGCTTGTGATTCCTGGTATGCACAGAAGCAGTACCCAGTTACTTTTTTAGAGTGGAACAGCCTCAGTACAGCTTTGCATTCGTTGAGTCATTGTCATTCACTCTCTTCCAATTATGTGTCAGGCATTATTCGAGGTGCTAGAAATAGATTTATGTGGAAGGCAACAAAACATATGCCCCTGTTACAGAAATCTGACCCATAACCATAAGCAGGCTCTTGAGAGTTTAGAGGGAGAGCCGTGTCTTATTTATACATGTGGGCTAGCCCAAAATGGGTTGAACCCTGAATGTAATTCTCGTGGTTTATATAAGTTAGACATAGGATTCACCAACTCTCTGTGAACAATTCTCTCACCTTTCATTAATAATAGTTGGTAACATATGTAATGCTTGGTACACTCAGTGATTAATACATTGTTTTAGTTTTCATATAGACATTTATTGTTTCTGTGACTGCTGTGTTGCTGCTCAAGCATCCAGATATGTCTGGCTCACCTGCTGTTATGGTCACAAATTTATGATTTATGGCATATTGATCTTTGCCCAGCTCCTACAAAAGTGGTCACTCCGACGTCCTGAATCTAGTTTCCTGCTTCTGCTCCGTTTACCCACTACATCCTCACGGAGCTTACTTTCAACTAGTATGGTAGAGCAGAAAAAGAGAAGTCATGGCCAGGTGTTGGAAGTTGATACTTTTATTATTTTTAATTGAATCACTGCGAGATGCACAGTTACAAAGCCGTTCACGGTTAAGTTTCAGCGATAGAATGTTCTAACACCCAATTCCTTCACCAGTGTACATTTCTCACCATCAATGTCCCCGGTTTCCGTTCTGCCACCTCCTCTCCCCTGCCTCCATGGCTGGCAGTTTTCTTCTTTCTCTCACTTGCTCTCTCTCTCTCTCTCTCTCTCTCTCTCTCTCTCTCTCTCTCTCTTTCCTTCTGGGTATTAGGGTTTGCAATGATGTACTGAAAAGTTATGTATGCAATTGCTATTTTAAAAATGTCACGGTCACGGTCAACGGTCCTCCCGTTATTCATCGATTTGCTCCAGCGGGCCCAGTAACATCTCCATCGTGAGACTTGTTGTTACTGTGTTTGGCATATCGAATACGTCACGGGTAGCTTGCCAGGCTTTGCCGTGCGGACGAGGTACCCTCGGTAGCTTGCCAAGCTCTCCCAGAGGGGCGGAGAAATCGAACCCGGCTCGGCTGGTCCTGCTGCGCGCAAGGCAAACGCCCTACCGCTGTGCTATAGCTCCAGCCCTTAAAAATGTAAAGTAAAAAAATATCTTGGAGAAAGGATACATTTCTAGAAGAGTGATTATCAAGGAAACTGTTTCTAGGTATTTAATATTTGAGTGGATGCCTAGAAGAGATGACTATATGGGAGAATAACATCCCAGACGAAGCTAAGAGCCAGTGTAAATGTGCTGGAGGGTAACTCACTGTGTTGTGTATGAGGCACAGTGAATGAAATCCACCTAGAATGCAGTAAGTGGTTGCGTCTAGGGAGAGCTCAAAGGTCTGAGTAATAAAAAGAAAAGTTTCCACTATCATCGACCCTGCCACTATTCCAGCTGTAGTTTAGGGTCTTTGATTTTTCTGGGGTTTTTTTGGGGGGGCCACACCTGGTGGTGCTCAGGTCTTACTCCTGGCTCTGCACTCAGGGGTCAGTCCTGGCATACTCAGGGGACCACATGGGGTGCTGCAACTTAAATGTGGATTTGCAAGGCAAGCAACTTACAAGGCTTTGCTATCTCTCTGCCCCACTGGGGTCTGTATCTTCCTTCCATCCTTCCTTCCGTCATTTCTTCCTTCTTTCCTTCTTTCCTCCCTCCCTCTCTCCCTTCCTCCCTCCCTATCCCCCATCATCCTTCCCTTCCTCATTCCCTCCCACCTCTCCTTCCTTCCTTTTTCCTTCCTTCCTTCCTTCCTTCCTTCCTTCCTTCCTTCCTTCCTTCCTTCCTCCCTCCTTCCCTTCCTTCTTTCCTTCCTCCCTCCCTCCCATCGTCCTTCCCTTCCACCACTCCTTCCTTCCTTCCTTCCTTCCTTCCTTCCTTCCTTCCTTCTTCTCTCCCATATTCCTTCCTTTCCACCACTCCTTCCTTCCTTCCTTCCTTCCTTCCTTCCTTCCTTCTTCCCATCTTCCTTCCCTTCCACCTCTCCTTCCTTCCTTCCTCCCTCCCTCATATCATCCTTCCCTCCCATCATCCTTCCCTCCCACCTCTCCTTCCTTCCTTCCTTCCTTCCTTCCTTCCTTCCTTCCTTCCTCCCTCCCTCCCTCCTTCCCTCCCTCCCATCGTCCTTCCCTTCCACCTCTCCTTCCTTCCTTTCTACCTTCCTTCCTCCCTCCCTCCCTTTTCCCACTGTCCTTCTCTCCCTCCTTCCACCTATCCTTCCTTCCTTCTTCCCTCCCTTCCTCCCTCCCATTGTCTTTCCCTCCCTACTTCCTTCCCACCTCTCCTTCCTTCCTTCCTTCCTTCCTTCCTTCCATCCTTCCTCCCTCCCTCCTTCCCATCGTCCTTCCCTCCCTCCTTCCCTCCCACCTCTCCTTCTTTCCTTCCTTCCTTCCTTCCGTCCTTCCTCCCTCCCTCCTTCCCATAGTCCTTGCCTCCCTCCTTCCCTCCCACCTCTCCTTCCTTCCTTCCTTCCTTCCTTCCTTCCTTCCTTCCTTCCATCTTTCCTTCCTTCCTTCCTTCCTTCCTTCCTTCCTTCCTCCCTCCCTCCCTCCCATCGTCCTTCCCTCCCTCCTTCCCTCCCACTTCTCCTTCCTTCCTTCCTTCCTTCCTTCCTTCCTTCCTTCTTTCCTTCCTTCCTTCCTTCCACTACCTGTGGCAAGTTTCCTAGTCTCCTCCTGGCCCTTGTTTCTACTGTCCTTGAGTCTTAGTCTCCTATTATATTCTTTTTTTCATCTCCCACAGATGAATACAATAATTCTATGTCTGTTCCTCTTTTTCTGACTCATTTCACTCA